AACTACCCACTAAACTCCTTATCTTCCCTAATTATTCTCCTTAATGGCAGTTAAACATCATTAATTTTCCAGATTCTTCCAAAATTCAAATTGCAATTATTTGTTCTCTCTATTTTGCAAGTCAAAACCCAACCCGTCTTTTAGCCGAATCGGGTCTGGGTGGGAAATAGTTTAGGTCCAATTAGGTCATCCTAATTGGGCCAGTCCAAATAATTCAATTAAAAGCCCAAAGCAAGGTTCAACCTTCCAAAGCATGCTAAAGTCAACAGAAGTCTAGTCAACATGGCAGGCCCACTTGACTTCAAGGGCTCAAGCCTCCTCATTTAAGCAAAAGTATAAAAGCCATCAATTATCTCATTAATAGGGACATGCAACAAAAGCCTCAAGCCCAAAATCTCTTGCATAACTTTGTCTCTCAACTGAACTGACTTTAGCATTAGAGGGGCCTTCCTCGGCAACCACCCCCGAAGCTAGTTTACGTGTTCTTTGCTGTGTAGGAAACCCTCGACTCCAACGTTCTTTGGATCGAGATCAGTCTTCTCCTTCAAAAGGGACTTGCTGAAGGTCCCATTGTTTCCATTCGGAATAGTTGGTTTTATGACTAATTGATAGTTGTAGGCAATATATTTTGAGAAAAAAGATGATATTGTTATATTTTACGAAGTACTTCTTCTGTACTTTTTTATTTGACATGTTTCTTTTATTACGTTTGTCGATGTACAACTTTAACTATCAATAACTTTAATACTTTATATGTAAAAACTTTAAAATTTATATATTGTGAAAGTACTTATTTAGACGATTCTAACAAGATCTCACATGAACATGTTTTTCTTTACGTATAATTCACAAAAGGCGGTCAAAAGTGAATTGGTGAATAGTGTAAAAGTCAAAGCGGGTCAAGTAAAGAGAAACGGAGGAAAAACTTTGTATATTTATAATATTTTGCAAAACCATAATAGTGTAGTTCAACTTTCAATGAATTTTTTTTCGTGATTAAAGTTCTAATTATTTTATACAAGCACGTGGGACATATGAAAACACTACTCTATTCCATTTCTCTTACTTTATCTACAATTTACTTTTTTTTTATTCACTTTTTTCAAATTAACCTGGAAACAAGAATATAATTTACAATAATTTGGTTGTACTTTTGAGAACGAAAGGAAACTTTAAGGGAGATAAAGGTGAATATTTGAAAATATATTCATTGAGTTTAAACTAAACAACACCTTACATGCTATGAAGTAATATTTGTTTAAATTGTTTTCATATGTTAAAAAAAAACATGGTAAAGGTGTGATGCGTAAATAGTAATAAAAAAAAATAAAAAATAAAAAGTTAAAAAGTTAACTATTATTTTATTGGATAAAAAAAAACACAGTAAATGGATAACTAAGGTGGGAAGACTTATAATATATAATATTTATTGGCCTTAAATTCAAGTCTTTGCATAAGTATTTTTAATTGTCAAATTCAATAATCCTTCCGTTCCTGAAAGTTCGACTCAAGCCCTGTTCTTTTGAGTTTTTGGGCAGAGCAGAACAGAGCAGATTTCAGTAATATTATTATTAATATTAATACTATTTTTATTATTATTATTATTATTATTATTATTTATTATTATTATTATTATTATTATTATTATTATTGCCGTTACTACTACTATTACTATTATTATTGTCGTTACTACTACTACTATTATTATTATTATTATTATTATTATTATTATTATTATTATTATTATTATTATACTATTGATTTAGGTGAATGAAAACATAAATAGAGGTGTACCATCTTCAACATATGTTAATAGTAGAAAGATAAAAGACAATAGTTTAACATCTTCAAAATATTATAACCACATATCAAAATAGGAACATAATTAGATAAGAGTTTAACATCGTGGTGATTAACCATCTATTTCCATATGATCTTCATTTTCATCATCTTCATTGTCGCTTTGATCTTCATTGTCATCACCATCATTGTCGCTTTCCGATCGATTAGCCCCCCAATTCGACGTGGTATACAATGTCGCACTTTGGCCATACTATCTTTACGCCATTATGAAAATATAGTTGAATCTGCTACTCCTATATTCGCATCATGTTGTATGATTGGTATGCCATGCGTATGCATCCGAATAAAATAATATTTTAGTATTATTATTAAATATGAAGTATTATTATTCCCTCAGGAAAAATATTATGTGTTATTATTATGATCAATATATATTTAGAAATTGTTATAAGTTATTATTAATTAATATTATTAAAAATATTAACATTTTTTTGTGAATTATTAATTATTATTATTATTATTAAATATTAATTATTATAATTAATTATAAATTATTATTATTATTATTATTGTTATTGTTATTATTAATTATTTATTTTAAAAATATATTAATTATTATATTTAATCCAAAGCAGATTCCAGCAAACAAATATAAGATCTCACATGCTAATATATTTTTATTGTATAACTCAGAAAATGTGGTCAAAGTTATTTTATTTTGACCATGAATAGTAAGTGAGTCGAACTTTCAAAAATGGAGGTAGTACATGTTTAAAGGAGAAGCGTGGCATATATTCTATATCAGGAACATTTTTTAATATATAAATACATAACTATAGTTATATGTATTTGGAAAAATTATGCAAATGATATATTTCATTAATAATCTACACCATAATGAGAGGTACCTAATAAGAGGTACCTAATAAGATACCTTTAGTTATATGTAATTGTAAAAACTATTGAAATGATATACGGAGTAGTTCACTAATAATCTACTCAATGAGAGGAACCTAATAAGATATTACATGACTATTTTTGTTATTACGTTCACAACCACCAAAGTGTGAACTGTGAATATTCGAAAAGTTATAATCCCTCCGTCCTAGTTTATAGTTCCCGTTTGTAATTTTTCACGGTATTTAAGAAATGAGTGAAGAAAGTGGATGAAATACATTAAAAAAAGGTGAAAAGTACAATTATAGACAAAAGTCAGAGAGAGAAAGTGAAAAAGTACAAACTAAGGCAAGTGAAAAATTTAGGGGTGATTTAGGAAGTACAATGAATTAAGCAGGGGCGGATCTATTCATGTGGAGAGTGGTGCACGTGACACACCAGTAGAAGAAAAAAAATTGATGTTTGGTTTTTTATATATATAAAAAAAAGAATACATATCAAAGAGACCGTTTATTATAGATAGGCGGTCTCTTTGATGCTGCTATTGCTATAAGAGCTTTGCACTGTGTTAGTATTTTTTTTTAAAAAAAAATAACCGGTCTCTTTGATGCTGCTATTGCATTTCATGATTTTTGCGCTTCTTTCTTTTTTCATTAAAGAGACCTGTTATATTTAATAACCGGTCTCTTAAGTTATCTCACTTTTTTTTTTTTTTTTATAATTAATAATTTTTATTTCTATTTATATCCTATAATTGTGCAACCAATATTAATATTTTCCCACAAAGCTTATCGATTAAGTAAAAAATCATAAAGTTGATTTAATGTAATAGTTTTTATAGTACCATTTGTTTGTTACATGTTATTTGTAGTGCTTTCGACTTGTAAGATTGAATTTTTAAGTACTATTTGGTTGTAGTATGGATTTTTGTATCCTATTTTTTTTTATTGAAATCAATTTGGTGAAATATAATTTTTTTTTTAAATATAAATTTTGGATTGAAATTAATTATGAACAAGTGATCAATATTTGATGGTGGTGACTCACCATCACGAAAATCCTGAATTCGCCATTGGAATAAATTTTTAAGGTACAATGGTCTTTTCGTACTATTCAGAAATAGAAATAGAAACAACATTTTATGTCTCTAAATTAGAAAAACATGAATTATAATGTGAGACAGAGAGAGTATAATATTCAATTAAAAAAGAATGAAGTACACACGTAGGACTATGGGAGTATATTAATTTGGTTGAAAATTGAATGGTTTACAAACTCTCTAGCAAAGATACTATGGGAGTACATCAATTTCATTGAAAATTGAATGGTTTACAAACTTTCCAGCAAAGGTATTTGTCCTTTAAGCACATTTGTCCTTTTAAGCACATAAGACTGTGGAAGGATGGCTACATACTTAATTGCTTACTAGATAAGGATCAAGGAGGGAACCAATGACAAAGTGATACTCTGATTTTTTTATTTTGTAGTAATCGCAATAATTACTTTTTACGTCCATTTTATAATAATTGTAAGTTGCAATTAGACCTGTTAATTTTTGAGCCGACCTATAACCCAACCCGAATAAACCCGAATCCGAATCCGAAGTTATTGAGAGAGAAAAAGTGGACCCGACATCGACTCTAACTCAACCTGATTTCGCCTATTTATCAAATTTTGTATGTAATAACAATGTGTTTTTATACAACTTGAGATAGTTTGTAACAAGACCCAAAATCTAACCTGTATCCAACTCATTGACCCGAACTGTCAAATTTAATTACAACACATTTTTATTTGGTAAGGGTCCACTATTATTTTATTATTTTTCTCTCATTAACTTAACTTACAAAAATATTTCATTATTTCTCTGTTCTACCAACTTTATTTACACTACTTTTTCATTACTCGTATATTATTTCTTTCTCTCATAATATTAATTTTATACTCTATATCTCCATTAACATACGATACTTTATATTATAAAATACCCCGTTTTAGTCCTAAGGACTATGCATAAGAAGCTAAAAGAGGAAAATATTGATGAAATACATTCATGAATTACACTGATTTGTGCGTGATTTTGTCATGCGTTCCTAAACTTATACCACAAAGTAAAAGATATTAAATGTTTATTTATAGCCTTAAGAACTACATATAACATTACCTTTTTTCTAATATATTGTGTAATATAGAGTGTTACAATTATTACAAAATGAAGAAAACAATAATTACTTGTAAAATATTGACATTTCCTACAAGTTTATAATTATTATTATTTTTTTGAGAAATAGATAGCCCAAGTATTTTATTAAGTTAAATAAAATTCTGCAAGAGTAGTGATACACTTCCCTACAAGTCTTTGTTTAGGGTTGCCTGGATTGCCAGCATGGAGGGTAAAAGCTATAGGACGAAAAAATTCAAATTTTTATATTTGCGGATGCAGACTTGCAGAGTAATATTTTAAGACAGTAGTTTTTTTTTTTCCCTGAGCAATTACTCCTCTCTCCTCCATCTTTCTCCTTTTTCTCTTCTATCTCCTAGCATTTACCACCAGCCCAACCTCAACCTTCCGCCGCCACCCATTGTCAAGGTTTCTTACCGACTACTGCCACCATCTCCCTTCTACCGCCGTCCCTTCTTTCCACCATCATCTTTACTCCATTTTTTTAATAACAGGGTAGGTGCGCTAAATTCAATTCAGTAGCAGTCGAAATTGACCAATAATTTCAGATCGATAACCTTCTCGCTCAAATATGATCACAAAGGAATTGTATTATACCTTCATTGAATATTTTTAATGAATTATTTCTTCTTTGGCCTCTCCTCATTTTCAGATCTGCTATTTTATTTTTGATGAGCAGTGCATAAATGGTAGTTTGCAAGGTGGGATTGGGTTTATAAGGTGGTTGATGGGGGTGTTCCGTTCAATGGTGTAACTCTGTTTCAAGCTTGGCTTTCCATGGAGTTTGAAGCGCAAGAAAGTTTTATTGCTTTTACCTAGTAAAGATGCCAAACTTTTAAACAAGTAAGGGCTTGTTTGGTTGCACAAAGAAAAAGGGAGAACTAGAAAATTACGAGAATTTGAAAAAATAGATGAGTTGTTTGGTTGACAATAAAAAGTGTAAATATGAGAATTGCAAATTCACGGGAATTGTGATTTCTCACTAAACATGGAAAATTAATTACCTGACCCCCTACGTAAGTCAAAATTCCCATGATTTGGAATTTCTGTCATCTCAACCAAACAAGTTTAATTTCTACGAATTGGATGTAGGTATTTAATTCCCATAAAATACAAATTCCCACGAAAAGTAAATTCCCATATCAAATAAACACCAAAATATCACCCAATAACAAATCCTTCTGTAATTTTTACCCCATTGGTTTTTACTCTGTTAATTACTTCTTGAATTTAATCCAAGCGGGCCCTTATTAGTAATCATTCATCGGTAATTATTGACTTCCCTACATGTCTATATTTATCTTTAACTTTTGGTCGTCTTAGTACTACAGTGCTTGCAATTCTATGTGCTTTCCACTTCAATTCCATGTTATTTCCATAACAATACTGTACTACACACTTGACTTTTCCCTACTATATAAATTAATATATAAACTTTTCACATTACACTTTGTTTCAATTTATAGTGCAAAAAGACCATCATCAAAAACAAAACAACATGAATGCCATAATACAAAATACAGTAGAAGGATTATTAGCAAATGAAGCTCATGGAATAATTGGAATGGTGTTGTCACGCATCAATGCGGAAATCAAACTAGCTCGCGGTTTCAAGAAAGAGTTAGAGGTGGTTCAAGGGCAGCTCACTCGATTAATTGGGCTATTACATGGTGCTTCTTGCCAGTCGATCACCAATCCATTGATAGTCGATTGGCTCAAAAATATAGAGGATGCTGCTTACGATGCAGACGACTTGATTGACCAATGGTCATATGAAGCTCTACAGGCTAAAATTATCTGTACTCGAAAGAGGGACAAGTTTAGACGTGGTGTCTCTAAGCCCTTTTCACGCTTACGTATTGGTCACAAAGCGAGTGACTTAACAAGCTTGATTAACAACATCTATGATGATGCTAATAAGCTTGGCATTAGACCTATCAAAGTTGCTTCAAGAGATGTGTGTGAAGATCAAGAAACAAGCAAACTTCGTAACCAGCGACACTATGTGGATGAAAAGTTGCTCATAGGAAGGGACGAAGACTTAACACGCCTTGTTAAGTTAATATGTGATCCTAACAACAACAATTCATCCCCTCTCACCGTCATAAGCATAGTGGGAATGGCAGGTGCATATCATCTTTTTTCTAAGTTTGCGTACTTTTCTAGTTTTATTTACTCTATTAGGAATTGAAGTCTTTTTATTGTGGTTAGAATTACAACTATGAAGTTTGGGGAAGTATAATTGTGATATGTTTATAAACCAAGCAAGCACATTTTTATACCAAAATCAAATATAGGCTGGTTTTGTTTACTCTGTTGTTGCATATCTAATCTGATTTGAATCTTTTTTTTTTATTTGATTAGATCTAAACTTTTATTTTCCTAATTTGACCCGATTGTCTTATTTTGACCAAACTTAGACCTTATATGTACATTTTTCGGTTAAAAAATAAATTATATACCAAGTATAGTCTTGTTAGATTCATAATGTGTAATTTATTAATATGTAATTATCATAAATTTTTTTCATTACTTAATTAATGATTAAACCTTAAAGTTGTCTGATTATTTCTATTACAAAATTTTTGGATTATTTTTCCTCCTGCAAACTTTTTTTTTTTTTGTTTATAATGATAACTCACTTATATAATTATATTCATATTCGTACAAGATGTGATGCATTATTTTCTATGATGGTTTTGTTCGATACAAATTATTAAACGCACTACTTTCCCCTGCAACTTTTTTTTATTTATCTTTTTATTTTATATAATGGTAACTTACCCAATACTTATATTATCAATAACATAATACTAAATTAGACACCAGAAATGATACGTGTCACTTCTTAGTGCTGTGTTTTCCCTCTAAAACCACTTTTTTTTTCTTTTTCTTTTTTAGTTTGTCAAATCTTCATCAAATATATTTACCTTATTATTATAATATAACCTTCCTAATTGACCACCATTATTTTTCCAAACAGTGAAAAAGATTCACTCCATTTATATTATAACATATATCTAAAATTGCCACCAAAATATTATTCCACATATCGGCAATATATATTTCCAAATTAAATCTGCAAACACATTCAATAATAATTTATATACTTAAAGTGAAACCAGGCATGACACATGTCATTGTATGATTAAAAAATTTCTCTCCATTTTTCCTTTTTTTTTTTCAAAATTTCAAAAAAATAATTTAGAACATATAATATATTATTTCTAGTTTGACAATCAAAGTTTTTCTATATATACTCAACTAGAATATTTTTACATATCTTTCAATTATTTTATATTTTGTATTCAACAAAATGAACAAAGATTACATAAATATTAAATTAATACTTTTATCTAAAATTAATCCTATAATATTATCATTTTGTTTATTTGTTTCAACTTTTCTACTTTTATAATAAAATTTATTTCAATTAAAAAAAATCATTTTGGTAACATATATATGTACAAGTATATCATTTATTTTTACACTTAAAAGTAATAATAATAATAATAGCAGGGCTACTACATGGTTATATATTAAATTAGATTTTTATTTTTTTTAATATAAAATCTCGTAGACCTTATTTATTTATTTTTAAATAAAACAATGTTTCAATAACCTTGACATCGGTATAAGTATTAAAAAATAATGGTATACGTACCATTATTGTTGAATTAGTATTGCAATTTGTTACTATATGCTCTGTAAAATTTAGTAACAATCGTGCGATGCACGGGACTTAATTTAGTTTTTATTTATACCAGAGGTGAGATATATTATACCTTATGTGTTCATTTTATTGGTAGGTTTGGGAAAGACGACATTGTGTAAACGCATTTCCAAGGAAAAAGAGGTGTTGGAATTCTTCAACTCTGTAATTATTTGGCTTGTCATCTCTCGGACGTATGATCTTCTAGATTTTTTAAACAGAATGGTGGAGATACTATGCAGAAAAAATCCATCCATGAGAGATAGACAAGCACTGATATCAGAGCTTCATGAAAAGTTGAAGGATAAAAGGTATTTACTCATATTGGATGATGTATGGGATACAATTCATTGGGAATCCTTGAAATCCACTCTAGAGGAAATTGGTGGATCTTATGGTACTACTGTACTAGTGACTTCTCGCAACAAAGATGCAGTAGGAAAAATGGTGATGGATTGTTGTGATAGTAAAGGTAAACATAACATTAAAAGACCTTCTATCTATATCTTGCAGGGATTGAGTGAATCTGACAGTTGGTCGCTATTTTTGGCAAGAATAAGTGATGATAGTCTAGTTGATAGCGAAAAAGAAGCTATTGCAAGAAGAATGATGAAGAATTGTGGAGGCGTTCCTCTAGCCATAAGAGCACTAGGGGACCTTCTAAGGGACCAAAGTCTGAATAGATGGAAGGAGATTGAGAAAAGTCATACATGGACAAAAGTGGATAGGAATGATATTTTGCCTTCCTTGAGGTTAAGTTACGACTCCTTGCCAAGCATGACTCTGAAAAAATGCTTTGCTTATTGTGCCATATTTGGAGAAGACGAGGTCATTAACAAGAATAAGTTGATCTACATGTGGATGGCTCAGGGCTACTTGCAACCTTATGAGGTAATGGAGGATAAAGGGGAAGAATATGTCGAGCATCTGTTGAATAGTTCTCTTTTCCAAGAAGCAGAAATGGATGAGTGTGGCAAAGTGATGACATTTAAGATGCATGATCTAGTATGGTCTCTTGCTCGAGTTGTTTCAATAGGGGAGTGCTTGTGCTCAGATGGAGATGTAAGATCAAATGAGGTTCTACGACACCTATTAGTTCCCAAGCAGTCTAAAAGTAGAGAGCTCACTCTCACCTCCTATACAAAGTTGAGAACATGTTTGCTTTTCAAGGAGTTTGAAAATCCTCGCCTACATTTTTGGTTAAAATGTAGGCACTTAAGGGTGTTAAATATAGGTTGGAATTGGAGCGAGGATTTAGATTGGGAGCCGTTGGGTAGCTTGATACATTTGAGGTACTTTGAAATTGCTGTCGACAATGGTTTGGGTGTCATTCAGTCTAACCTTGCTGAACACATCACCAAACTTTACCACTTGCAAACACTTTGTATAAACAACTTACACATTGAGAAAGATCCATGCATGACTCAATTTCCAAAACAAATAGGTAATTTGGTAAATTTACGGCACATCCTTGATGATGATATCATTGGTATACCTATGGGGTTGGGTCTTTTAACTGCTTTACGAACTTTGCCTGCTATCAATTTAGAAATGAATTGGGGCGGGAAATTAAGTGACCTTGGTTCATTGACTAATCTCAGAGGTACATTGGAAATCCACAATCTATGTTTTTTAGATGGTGAAGAAGAAGCTCGTGAGCAAGTTCTAGACAACAAGTCATATCTTGACAGTTTAGTTCTGAGATGGGGTTTTAGTAAATGTCCGGCAGTTAAGGATAATCCCCACGCGAATGAGATCCTAGAAGCTCTGCAACCTAACGCGAACTTAAAAATGCTTCAGATTTGGAATCATGACGGTACTAGATTTCCAAGATGGTTGATTGAAGAAGGAAGTTCCTCACTTTCCAACCTCGTCTCCTTGAAGATTTATAGATGTACAGCCGAAGGGAATCTAACATTAGAGAGTTTCAGATCTCTTCGTTTCTTACAAGTGGAATACTGCAAGAAGCTGACTATTACATTACGAAACGAAGGATTCCAATGCTGCAATTCGCTTGAACAGATAGTAGTAGTTGGTTGTTATCAAGTCGAAAATCTTGGAGACTTTTCCTCTTTAACACAGCTTCATTCTTTAACCTTAAAAAATAGCCAACTAGTAGGGTTGGGAAGTCTTCCTTGTGTAAGGGAACTACACACTGATGAATTAGTACTACTTGCACACTTGGGCGAAGATAGTCCTGTTTGCAAATCCCTCGAAGTTTTAACATTGGAGGGGTTCCACTTGTATGACAATGATGATACAACTGTTCTTCCTGATCAGCTCAAATATTTGAGGGCACTCCAATGCTTGAAAATCGGACACTCCGAATGCTTGGAAACAATACCCGACTGGCTAGGGAAACTGACATCTCTCAGAGAGCTGCATCTTTCTGGCTTGCCTAAACTAAAGAATCTGCCTTCCCTAGAAGCAATTCGGCATCTCTCGAATTTAGAAACTTTAGAAATGGCTGGTTGCCCTCTTCTGTTAGCAGATGTTGAGAGTGAAAGTGGAGAGTGGCTTAAAATTGCCCATATCCCTCCTTTCATATACTACTGATGTATAGTAATGATGATTTTGTGATTCAATCTTTTGCCAACAATACACATTATTGGTGGATGTTTTTATATGTCTGGTGTTCTAAGTTTTAATTTTGAAACTGTCCAAACATATTTCAGGCAATTTGGTTTGGTGTTTGCTGTATATTTATATCTACAGCTCTGGTTTGGTGTTTACTGTATATTCACTCTGTCAAAAAATCCATTTTGTGTTTATTAACCAGAATTGTGTAAGGCCCTGTAAGCTACTGTCAAAAAAAAAAAAAAAATTCACGAATTGTGAATCTATGTAATAATGTCTTTTGTCTCGTATGACATGCCGAATTTTGGGTTAACAAATTGAGTTGGATAATTTGAATAGTGAAAGTCAAGATAAATGAGCATTACTGACCTTCGTATGGAAGTAATAATAGAATAAAACTGTGCAAAAATTATATGAACCAAATTAAAATAAAAAGAGATTAACCAAGTTTTTTGTTTACACTTGGGTCAATGAACTTAAGAGGATGTGCCATTTTTAAATTTATAATTGTATATCAGTACATATATATAATAGTTATATCTCTGACTCTCCACGCGATGTTTCGGGTTGATAATTAATTTCTAGTATAAATTAAATGATCAAAATGTTTAATCTAAACACATATCATTGATGCAAACATTTTTTTTTACGAAGGTTGAAATGGTGAAACAACACAACTACTTAGTATTCACTACTACACATACATTACTATTAAAACAATTTAAATGGACTGCAGCTTCTCCTGCAATTTGGTGTGCCCAATGAACACGCTGCTTATCTGTCTTGTATATACTACAATGGTGAAAAGTTGACCCTATTAGTTTGATCTGTTGTACTATCCATATATATGATGTCCCTGCGGCCGTCACCACTTAGGAGAGTAACCAGATTATAAGAATAAGTAAACAAAATAGGCGAGTGGATGTTAGAATTTGAAGCCCATTGTAAGCCGTACAGACACGCCAAAGCTTCCACATGTAAAGTACAAAATCCATAATTGCTCCCCCCAATTATCCGTTCATCTTGAGAATCTGCATTGTCGAGGCACCAACCTATTCTCGTTCTTTTGGTGTCTTTAAACCACGAACCATCAATGTTGTATCTTCACCGAGTCCTAGCCTGTAAAAGTTATCCCTAAATGTGTCACATGAAACCCAGGCGGGGGCAAACCATCGTTTAGAATAGGAGAATGAGCACTCTGTAGAAATGACTCCTCATCCAAGAAGATAGTATGAGTTTAAAACAAACATTTTTTAAGTACAATATAAACACTCGTATTAAATTGTGAGCGTTTTTTTTTAATTGATTAAAATATACGGAGTATCATATATAGATCTGGTTTTAAAATAATTTTTAAAACAAATTTTATAATGTAGAAATAACAAAATTATAAGATATTTATTGAAAATATAAATTATTTTATACGTATAAAATATTGAAAATTTGTGAAAAATAAAACTCATAAATATTATTTAATGCTAAAAAAAATATATACGAGTTTCTCTTACTTAACATCATACTTGTCAGCTAATGCTAATTGTCGTTGACGTGACACGACAATTGACAAAAGTAGAATGCCAAGTGTCGATGTATTGTGCTTGACGCATATGTTTTAAATTATTACTCACGTATATGTTCTAAATTTTAATTTGAGTCACATGTTCTAAATTATTACTCGTATGTTCTTAGAACATATGATTAAAATCTTAGAACACATGATTTAAAATTTAGATCGTATGAGTAAAAATTTAGAACTTTCCGTGAGTAATAATTTAGAAAATCTTATTTTACATTAAGAATATGTGACTAAAAATTAAGAACACTTGATTAAAAATTTAGAATATATGAGTATGAGTTCATAACATACGAATAACGATTTAGAACATATGATCTAAAATCTAAGACATATGATTAAAATCTTAGAGCATATAAGTAAAATTTTGGAACAACTAATTTAAAATAAAAACATAAAAGTAATAATTTAGAATATTTTATTTAACTCATTTAGCATTTAGAGCATGTAAATAGTGAGTAACATTTAGAACATTGATTTAATATTAAGAACATATAGGTAAAGGTTTAGATTCTAGAGAGTGTTTAATATGTGATCCTAACAACACCAATTCATCCCATCTCACCGTTATAAGCATAGTGGGCATGGCAGGTACATATTCTCCTTTTTTAGACTTTTGAATGATACTCCCTCCGTCTCTTATATTTTGCCATGATTGTTTTTAGACTGTTCTTTTAATTTTGCCCCATTTTAGTTTTGGATATATGGGATCACACCATTACTCTCACAACCACCCCATTAACCCTATTATTTTTCTCTAACATTACTCTATGAAAAAATAAAAAATAAAATAAAAAAATAAGGAACGGATGAAATATTCTATAATTTGCAAGTACTCCATCCGTCTCACAATATAGTTCCCCTTTTTCCTATTTTTAAGACCCAAAATGTTGTTCCAATTTTTATTTTTGAATAGTATGTAAAGACCATTATACCCTCATTTTTTAAATTTTATTCATTGAACTTCCGAATTTACTCTTAAATTATCCATTTGCATTGTACTTTTTTCCGCTTTCTCTTTCTAACTTTTGTATATAATTGTACTTTTTTTCCCCCTTAAATTATCCACTTGTCTTTTACTTTTGTCTAACTTTTGTCTAGCTTTTTTCCACTTTTAATGTAATTTTTTTCCCACTTCTCCTCCCATTTCTTAAATACCGTGAATAAAACACAATACGAACTATATTATGGGACGGAGGAAGTATAAAATTGGGGAAGTCTTGTCGCATTGCTGCATTACACTACGCGAAAATTGGCAATTAGCACCGTTTCTAAACCCCCATTTAGCACCGGTTTTGAACCGAATCTGATTTGAGGGATGCCAAAACCCAAGATTTTTCGCACCGGTGCGAAAACAGACTTTTCGCACCGGTTCTTGCTGTGAACTGGTGCGAAAAATTCCCCAAAAAATTAAAAACAATACTCTTTCGCACCGGTTCTTGCTCTGAACCGGTGCTAAAAGTCATGGTGCGCCTTTTTTTTGTTATATACTTTTCGCAGCGGTTCTAGCTGTGAACCGGTACCAATAACAGCTTTTTTTTGGCAATAAATAATAATATTAATTTAATACTAATAATAATAATGAAAACTTGTACATCCTGCATTAATTCTACCATTATTATATATTATAATAACAATAACAATAATAATAATAATAATAATAATAATTATTATTATTATTATTATTATAATTATAATATTATAAATAATACTAATACTAATAATAATAATAATAATAATAATAATAATAATAATAATAATAATAATAACAATTTCTAAATTGAAATAATAACAACAATACATAGATATTAATTAATAATCCCAAATGCAATACAATGAAGTGTCATATTTACAATTCTTAAAAAAAAAAAAAAGTGTCATATTTACAAATAAACAATACTAATCAATAATGTAGTTAACAAGTTCAAATAGAAATGACCTTTACAAATTAAATGTGATGAAAGCCGCCAACATGTCTCGAACTTCATTAAGTTCCTTGCTCGTCAACGGACCTCCATTTTGTACCTTGCAAAACTTGGAATAAACAAAAAGTATGTTAGAATTAATTACTTAGGTTATGGATGTAAAAATACATTTACAAGTTCAGTTAGGCAAAAATTTATTACTTAGACCTATATGACTACTAGGATGCCTATTTTCTACATTTATTATCAAATCAACTCATTCTTTCTCATAACATGTCAATATTACTTAGTTATAGGCGGCTAAGGCATGAAACCACATGAAAAGAGAAATTCAAGTGTTTAACTACGCATTTTGATCCAAAATAGCCCAAATAAGGCCTATATGACTACTAGGATGCCTATTTCCTACATTTTTTGTCAAATCACCTCATTCGTACTCATAACATGTCATTATTACTTAGTTATAGGCGGCTAAGGCTTGAAATCACATGAAAAGAGCAATTCAAGTGTTTTAGGACGCATTTTGATCCAAAATGGCCCAAATAAGGCCTATATGACTACTAAGATGCATATTTCTGACATTTCTTGTCAAAAAAACTCATTTTTACTCATAACATGTCATTATTACTTAGTTATAGGCGGCTAAGGCTTGAAATTACATGAATTCAGCAATTCAAGGGTTTTAGGACGCATTTTCCTCCAAAATGGCCCAAATAAGGCCTATATGACTACTAGGATGCCTATTTCCTACATTTCTTGTCAAATCCACTCACTCTTTTTCATAACATATCATTATTACTTAGTTATACGCGGCTAAGGCTTGAAATCACATGAAAAAAGCAATTCAAGTGTTTTAGGACGCTTTTTGATCCAAAATGACCCAAATAAGGCATATATGACAACTAGGATGCCTATTTCCTACATTTCTTGTCAAATCAACTCATTCTTTTTCATAAGATGTCATTGATACTTAGTTATAGGCGACTAAGGCTTGAAATCACATGAAAAGAGCAATTCAAGTGTTTTATGGCGCATTTTGATCCAAACTGGCCCAAATAAGGCCTATATAACTACTAGGATGCCTATTTCCTACATTTCTTGTCAAATCAACTCATTCTTTCTCATAACATGCCATTATTACTTAGTTATAGGCGGCTAAGGCTAATCACATGAAAAGAGTGTAGGGTTTCGTAGTGACCCGACACTACGCGGAAGGAAACCCACCAAGACCCGCCCCTTAATTAAAACAGTTAACAAGCATATTAAACTTAATCAAGCAAGATTAAGAACAAGAATTACACCTTTGTCGCGTGCTTCGCTCCTAAAGAGCTCTTACTTCAAAATCCCGAAAACACGAGATCTTCGACGGATCGTACCCTCGACCCGACCCGAGCGTCCTAAGTCGTGAAGGTTAGTCAAGACCCGGACAAAGAAAACTATGAGTTTTACGAATCAAAGGTTTACTCTTAATTAGAGTTGCCTTTTTAATTCCAATCAAGGTTGTATTCTCAAAATCTCAACCAAGTGGGTATTTATAGAGAATGGGGACTTGAAACCCCTTTTCATGATCAATGTGGGATTATGTGCAATTGCAATAATTTATTTAATTCCAAAATAAATAATTAGGCAAAAGCAATCATAAGGCAACAAGTGGCAAGAGGAAAGAATGGGTTAGGTGAGGACCATATCCCATGGGGGGACCATTGCCTTGCTCCCCAAGGGAAGCCTAGAGGCTTTGGTCCCCACCTCTCCTAAACCGCCACTCACAAGGCAGCTGGGCTGGCTGCCACCTGGTACTGCCAGCACGCCTAGCCAGCTAGCACCATGCTGCCTAGAAGCTCCCTCGCATGCATG